TCGTTCACAGCTGACATCGAATCCATTTTGTAATAAATATTGTCCACAAATGCATTTCCGAATTACGTCTTTCTGACTCATGGGAAGTTGGGTCGTGATGTGTTGCTATGTGACCCAGTGATTGAAGCACACTGCGTCGTAATTCCTCAGCGGATGGTCTCTTACTGTTGTCCACATTCAAACATGGGCGGATGATATCAGCTAATGCCGGTGCGAGCTCTTCACTGACGAACGGAACGTAACCAGCCATGATTCGCACGGCAAATTGATGTTGGGTGGTTTTTGCATCCATCGTAAACGTACCGCTTTCTCCCGGGAGAGGGTCGGACTTCTTATACTTGCGTATATGAATTCCACTAGAACGATCAAATAAATCATGCATAATACAACCGACACTCCAGATATCCGTTTTCCGACTCGGAGCCGGGGGCTGCTCCTGACTTCCCATGTGCATAATCTCGGGTGCCATGTATTTGAGCGTTCCACCAACGTTCATGTCGGCGTGCGTCTCACTAGCGGTGTTGTTCCCCATTACCTCTAGACCGTCCAGGTCGCCGATTACCACCGCAGCATGCCGGTCAGCATGGTGTTTCAGGAAGATATTGCCGGGTTTCAAGTCACCGTGCCTGAGGTGTCGCGCGTGTAAGAATTCCACACCAGTCACGATTTGCAGTGCATAACATAATGCGCTCCCTTGATCTAGAAGCGCATGATCGGCCTTTACTCCGAATAACAGCCTCTCCAAGTCGCCGCCTAGTGCGAAGACGTCAAATTTGCTTCAACAAGGCATAATGTTCATGCCTTCGCAAAGATCCATAAGGATTTCCACAGAAAAGCCAGTATTAGTTGAGAAAAAACTGACTCTGTGAAACGCTACCAGATGTGGGCATTGTAGGCTAAGCAGTGTCACCCATCTGTCCCTGGAACGTTCGCTGACTTTCAAATTTTTCACTTTTGTTTCGTCAATGACTTTGACTGCCGCTTCCTCTTCACCGGTATAATTCCCGCGATGTACGATTCTGGCTCTGTAAACGTGTCCAGATGATCCTTGACCAAGACTGTTGCGATGCGAATACACATACAGGCAGTCGCTTCCCATGTTGTCCAGAATCTTCCCCTAAAGGAAATTGTATTATTTATCTGTCAAGCATCCGATAACCTCCCGATTCAATCAGTTCTAATAATTTCTAGCTAGTGTTCACGGTTAAAATACAGTCTACGATATTGCGCATTTCTGTACATAACATATTGAGACAGAGAACAGGTGTGTACAAGCCTGTCCGGTAATTTCTGTCGTAAAGGTACAGCTAGCGCGAAATTTGCGTTTAAATCCATAGCCACGTCACTGCGCTTATCAGATTGACTAAATGCGCTCCGCAGTTAGATTGTCCATTACTACAGCGACCGTTTTTTAGCCACCTTCCGCCAGGCAGTTACTGTTATTCTCATTAAATTATCTGGCACGCACCAAGCCACCAGCCAGCCAGATGCACGTTACGTATGAAAACAGTGTGGCGTGGCGCGCCGTAGCATGGAATTTGGCGTAACACGCAAATTTGTGTATTTCGCTGTATTGAACCGGCAGAAATTACCGGACAAGCTTGTACACTGAATTGCTATCGATCTTTATTACAGGGCACTATTCAAAAGGCTGGACCAACGACGCTGATTGGCAGGGTTACCCAGTTTCTGCATTGGCAGGCGTGTTTATTATGGTGTTTAACATAATCTTCCCGTTAGCAAGTGTATACCACGTACTACAACTACATCACTTTGAAATGAAAAGTGTACAATACCCTTTCCATTTCAAAGCGATGACTTTTCTCAACAACTGATCAAGTTGGCTGTACATTGTGAATAACGAATCACCGCACCCGCCACATGTGGCGAGTTACATGATGAATCATGCTGGGCGCCTCATCGATTAGTAAGGTTAGATAAGTTCCTTTTTGTTCTTCCCTGTCTTTTGAAGTATCGCTGGGATGATTCTTTTTAGAAACGGATGAAATGCAAGCGTACATGCAATTACAAGCAAAATTCGATAAGATCGGTTCATAATAAAACTTTTGGGTGCACCTGAATGCATTTAAACTTGCTGAATTTCTTTGCTCTCACATCTCGGCAACCCGATGCTACCCGAGAAAAAGGATTTTATGCCTATGCAGTGCAGACAAATCATTTGGTTACCCAGTGCCGAAAACCAAATCCCCGACACTGTTCGAAAGTTCCCATCAATGCACACGTATTTCCTGCTATTCCTGTGTATGTACGATGGACCGGGTCACTTATCTTAAGAATATCAGTAATGAGTAAAGCCAGAGGAACGCGTGCCGGAACGGTTAGCGTTCGTGCTGATAATGCTGGCCGGCAAAGCATTAGCAGCAGTAAATAATTTGGGTGCATGAAACACTGTTGAACGGTGACACTATTCACTATCTTTTGCCAATATACATAATATTATGTGGGGTAAATCATATCTGATTTAGCCACACTTAGCTAAAACCCTGTCTGCCTCAGCATTCCGTTAGTTTTTGGCTTCGCTGTACCTTTGTGTACTTTGCTAAGGACCAAGCTTTCTCAACAGTGGCAATATTGACTTTTGCAGTTTGAAAAGATTGGCTTATGTACCGCTCGTGTGGATTTATGAGGAAAATATGGGCAGCGACAAGCGAATGAATGTTTGCTTTACGAAGTCGTGATGGGCACCGTACAAGCGTTTCTACCGATAATGAAAATAGCACCGTAGTACGAAGTGCAAATAGTCCAAAGATCGATGGTTGCCCGGCACAGCAAAAGTGCGGCTATCATCGAGTCAGCCATAGCTCGCCACCCTAGTAGCGTTGCTAGCTCTGGCTGTTCAGGGTTGCGTTCAATGCAATTCAGGTAGGTAGTAATGGCAGTTAGTTACACTTCGGGCTACGCTGTAGTCATAGTATTTGCAAAGGTTTTCTACCCGTTCAGCAGAAGCACGAGCATTCTTGCGAACGCAAATCGCCAAAACGATGCCGAAGACCAAGGCGACACTGCAGGCAATGGATGGACACCACAGCCGTCTCTCCTGGTGTTAGCATGGGTCCGGCCGTTCTGCAAAGAAAATCACCCTACATCGAGCAATTATACCACAATGTTATCCACAAGCAAAGGTTTACGGAGGATTGCGTGGAAAGGTGTCGGGATTGTCAATGTACTGGCTGGCAGTCGGGCTGAGACGTACTGCAATCACCGAGTAATTGACAGAGACGACATATTCCATGGAAATGGCGCACCGTAACTGCTGGTGCGCCGCTAGGATCGCTTCATAAGACATTGGTGCAACGCTTGTGCCTGTAATAAAATATTGTTATTCAGTGGGTTTGACATATTGACAGCTGGGTGAACAGGTGCACCTTCGTACACTTTGAACAATTGCTTTTCCCAGCATACTGTACAGAAACTGGCTTCTTCGCCACAGAGGCTGAAGTGTTATGCAGGAGTATTATAGTTGTGCAAGAAGGTTCACAAATATCTCTGAACAGTTCAAAATGCTGGGCGCAGAACACAATAACGTGGATAGACTGGTTTCTGCATGCAAGGGTGCATACCTGCTTCAGGAAAAGTCCCAATGAAGGCCACCCCGATTCCTTGTGTGTTTAGCGGTTTGTAATAAGCGCCCTTAAGCAGCCATCCTCGACCCTCAAATACCGCTCCATCCATTCCGATCAAAAAGCTACAGTACAGATACTGTTCGATAAAGCAGGAAAACAGCCCAAAAATATGCAAGTATCGACTTATGATCGAATTGGCTGGCGAATAAAGCAAATTACCAGATTCAGATGAGAACATGTACTGTATTATGTGGAAAACTGTCACCATATTACTGTTTCCCCGCAAGATGGGATTAGACATTACTTGTAAGCGATATCGGCGAATTTCGTGGTGGATGAAGGCGAGAAGCCCATATGGTCATCCTGTATGGCTTTGACGGTTTTCTTGCAGGACTCCCGATCAGTACACGTCCCGTGCACCGTGGTGCCGGTTAGCGTCTGCGTGTACACCATGTAGCGCAATGGGTATTGTAGAAAGGTTTTGACCTCGGTTTGGTTATTGTATATCGGATCGCGCGCATGCCACTCTGAACGGGAAACCATCGCCGGACATGATGCGTTGAACGGAAATGTTCCGTTTCCCGAAGCTCCTGGGATCAACGCGACGTGTTGGATATCTTTAATATCTGGAATGATGATTTTTACTCAACAGCGACAAAATTATCTAAGGTTGCGGAGGTGACTTTTGTTTGTGGTTTTGTGGCACCCGTGGTTTGTCCCCAACCTAAATGCGCGCACGCTAGCAAGGATACCGAATCGCCATAATAGTTACCGTAAACGGGGAAAACGCATACTGTTAAGGTGAAAGCTAAATAAAATTAACAACACCAGATATGGGAGCATGAATTTAAAAAATAGGTGTAAATATACAGCTAAAGTGCGTATCTATTACTCCTATCGTGAGACCATATTAACGAAATTAAAATAAAATACCGAACACGCGTCCGGTTTCCGGCAGTACAGACTCTAGCCGCTTACCGGCTGGAACCGCATCGGCAAAAGCACTGGGTACGGTGGAGTCGGCATATGTGTAGCGAAAAACGCACACAACTGCTATAATCTCACAGGGGTGCAGCATACTTGCTGAATAAATTATAAAACTAAAGAAACGTTAAAGCGAGTTCTCGAAATGCAAACATGTAGAAAAGGCGATTGATTACTTAATTACAGCTTTTTTATAGTTACGGTTACGGTTATGGTTACAACCGCTCTAGATCTTCGAACATACAACAATAGCAGTCATAAATGCAGTAAGAGGTACTGCGAAGGGTCAGCAAATACGATAACAAAAACCTTATCAACTTCGACGTAAAATAAATCCTAGAAAACGTTGGCCATAAGGATTAGATTTGATGGCGCTGCTGGAGACACACAGAATTAAAATCGTGAAAATAAGACTCGTTTACCGTAAGTCAATAAAGTCCGTATGTTAGCACGTAGCACTATGTGTGCGTTAGCTGATAAGGTATTCAAGCGTTTGGTCGCAAACTTGTAAACAGGGGCAGGAGCGGGATGTATCTAACAGATGTGTGAAATTATAGCCATATTTAAAAATGCGGCTTTGACGTGCTTTTCGCTGTAGCAGAGGAAAACAAAACGAAGCAATTCAAAACATTTACTTCAGTGCATAAATTCTTCTTACATATGCTTGTTTCTTTGACAAACAGAAAATAGTCGATCTAATTGTAATTTTGCAATCAGCGATCGTGTCTAAAAACGAAGCAAGTTTTACGACATTTGTTGATAAAACCCTTAAGATCAACGTTTTTTTTAAATATTGAAAAGCTGCGCAAAAATTTTTCATTATTAGGTAGACTTTGTACATCTCGATTTGTAGTAGAAAGGCTGTACCTTTCTACTACAAAATAGAGAAATGGTATAATAATTTGGTTTGTATTTTGTTCCGTTTGTGGTATGTTTGTACTTCTACAAGTGCAAATAAGGCATAATGCATACAATATCTCCGTCAACTTCATAGTACTGTATTAGCGCAAACCTTATAGCGAACTAGAACGGTAGTAAAAAGTGTATTAATCGTACAGTACATCCGATCCCCAACAGATGATAACGGTAATACTGAGCGCAGTATAAAGCTCTTATAAATTAGCCAACTTCTGCCGACCGTGCATTAAGAAGCGTCATATCCTCTAGCAAATAACGTTGGTATAGTCTTCACGAAATGCGTTACCGATAACAGATGCGTTACCCAATATTACACCAAGGTTTTAGCATTTTCTCAATTGCCGCAGTTTCCTCTGTTAATTAATTCGCTACTTTAAATTATCGCACTGGAACATTTGGCTGGCATCCCGGGAAAAAATATATTTATGTTGCACCGCCTTACAGAGCGGTAAGCACAAGTATTTGTGTTTGCCAATAAAGACACTGTTCGTTGGGCTGCCTTGTGCCATCTGTGACATTATCAAAGAGAATTTAATTTTAGCGCTTCGCGATTATCAAGAAACGTATTTGTGTCACTGATTCATTAACAACAGCAAATACTATTTTTGGCATTCTTATCGATAACACGCGTATAAATTCAAATACAAAAGCGATATTTCTTTCTTAACTCGGCAAAATGACCATTTTTATGTCATTCAGCGTCACGTTCATACTTGTCCAAAACCCGGAAAATCACAGGAATAGAAATGACCTGATAGAAGAGAGCCAGTGGTTTGTGATATTATGAACCGGGAAGCCGGTAGCCATAATTCTTATCGCACCGCGACATTTCGCCGCCGACAACTCGTCGCAGACTTTTAGTCGCAGACATTTCACCGCAAGGTCATCTCGCCTTGCGACGCTTCGTCGTGGGACATTCAATCCGCAGGACGTTATGACGTGAGACAATTCGTAAGACGCCGAGACATAATTCCTACAAAATGAATAACTTACTAAACTGAGTAATTCCTAAGAATAACAAACCTAAGAATAACCTAAGGAAACCTAAATAAGAACAAGCCTAAGAATAACCTGAAAATAATTTAGAACAACCTAAGAAACCTAAAAGACCTAAGAAAAGCTCTACAGAAACCCGGAAAACCTGCGAAAATTAAGCGTGTCGAATGTTTTTGCGGCGAAGTCCGCGACCAGACGTCGCAGTTCCGAAATGTCCCAATGCTCATTGTCCCTAAGCGAAGTATGCCAGCGTTAAAATGTCCTGCGGCGAAATATCACGCTCCCAAATGTCCGGGTGCGACTTGGCGGAATTCTTATAAAACAGCACGATGACAGCTATCATCGTGCTGTTTTCAGCCAACGCTTTCGCTGCTAGCAGTTAACTTGCCGAGGAATCAGCCGAAGATGGTTTAGCATTTTGTATTCGAGGAGTGGCTCACAACTCAGACCCTTACTGCGTGATTGTGTCGCCCGCAGAGTAACAGAGTCACACAGCTTCAGGTTTTGACGAATAATTACCAGCAACAACTCGCTGCGCTCGGCGCAAACGATAAAAAGTTGATGAAGTTATTCGTGCCTGTATAGTAAAGCCTGTTAAAGCACGGACACAAATCCGATAAGTTATCCAGCGTAAATGGTCTGCACTGAAAGCTATAGTGAAAGGCAGTCTTTTTTTGACCGCATGTGACTATGTGGATAATAGAAGGTGCTCAAGCATATAAAGCGATAACCATTCTCCGCTTTTCAACATTTTGGTTGATGTCTAGCTGAAGAACAGTGACAGTTATTTTAGACTTGTACAGCAGGAATGGATCAGGAATGTTCCTTCTTTACATCGTTGGGATTCCTCTACTTTGTCAAGAGTTCCTAGGCCCAGTATCAATGTAAGCAAGAAAGGGATTAGTTACTAGAATGATAATTTATTACAGGTTGGTAACTCGACTTTGCTCATTTAGTAGAGTTTTCACAATATATTTTAGCTATAACTTGTAGCTTGGAGAACAAATGCAATGGAAGTTTGACACTATATTGTCCCACGTACTTCGACGGCAGACCGGACACAATCCGCTATTCCTCTATCACCAGGATGCCGCGGGGATAGAGCTACTTCGACGCTACCCTGGATTCCTTTTGCCTAGACCGGGGGTTTTCTTAGCATTTATTCAGCATCAGGTGCTGCAAAGACGTCGATTCATCTTAGTGAAATACTTATGATTAATTATCATTTGTTACCCGCCGCGTCCGATCACTTCGGCCGCGTTACATTTCGGCCGCACTGGTTCACTTCGGCCAACGTTCACTTCGGCCGCGGCTCACTTCGGCCAACACTCAATTCGGCCAACGCTCATTTCGGCAAATGGACGTTTCGGCCATCATAGCTTTTGTTTGGGTTTCCCATGTTTTCTAGGTTTGTCTTAGGTTTGTTATGTTTTCTTAAGTTTCTTAGGTTTATAAATTTCTTAGGTTTCTTAGGTTTTTTAATTTATTAGGTTTCTTAGGTTTTTTAATTTCTTAGGTTTCTTGGGCTTTCTTAGGTTTTCCACAATATCTTAAGTTTATAAATTTCTTAGGTTTCTTAGGTTTCTTAGGTTTTTTTAAGTTTTTTTTATGTTTCTTAGGTTTTTTTAGGTTATCTTAGGTATGTTAGGTTTTTTAGTTGTTCTTTGATCTAATGTTTTCATAGGTGTTCTTAGGTTATCCTTGTTTTCTTTATGAAATGAAGATTTCTTCATGATTTCCTTAAATGTCGTACGGTTAAATTTTCAGTGCTCTCCCTTGACTGTAGACTTCGTAACCATGATCATCGGCCTTATGACGGTCGACGAGGTGTTCATCAGAACAATCGGGAAAGAGAGACATGATGTTGACTGTTACACTTCAAAAAATTGCTCAAACAAATTGTGCGTACGAGTACAAAATGAAACAGAACAAAATTTCGCGTATTAGGAGAAATAGCATGTTACGCGGTGCAGGTTAAAAGTTTTGGTATTTCCGCCGAAATGTGCTGTGGCCGAACTGAGTTGCGGCCGAAAAGAATGACGGCCAAAGTGAATGGCGGCCGAAGTGAATGGCGGCCGAAAAGCTTTGGCCGAAATGAGCGCGGCCGAAATGAAAACGGCCGAAGTGATCGGTAGCCGTTACCCGCAGTTTGCTTTATGTTATTTAGAACCCTAAACCTTCCCTCTGGAGAATATTTCCAAAATCTGCGACAGGATTGTATCGCCACAGTCCCGTCTAAAACACTTGACCGGCAACCACACCGCACTCTCCAAACCTGCAACGGTGGTGCAAGCACTGATATCGTACACGAGAAAGCCGTCCATAGCACAAGAATACTATCGCAGCTTATCGTCTGCTAACAGTGCCCATAATGCTCTTATCGATTTCGTTATCCTTGAAGGTACAAATCCGTATTGCCATAAAGTACATTGGTCCTGTGGAACGCTGTAGATTGTGTGTTATATTCGTTCTAAATACTGCCTCGGCAAACAATGTCCACTGTTCTGCGTTATCGGATTAGGTGAATAAGTTTTATAATATTTGTCATACATTTGGAGCCGTGGACCGTGTCAACTGCCCATCCAGCTTTGTTCCCTCGGTGACGGGACTGAATCCGGCGTACGGGCGAAAATAAGACAATCAGCCCACGACTTCGGCATGCAACGGGGATTCGACCTCCCCTCCACCAGCAGAAACTTGGAATACGACCCTTACTCAACTGCCCGTTACTGCCTTTCCCCGTAAGACTGCGACCTTTCCGCCTCCCGTCACTGGCGCTCCTGTTCAACTTCCGTTTTGTTTTCTGAATCCGTTGAACATTACCTGCCGTCTCAGACGAGTGAATCTCCCGACGCCTGATTTGGATCTGGAGGGCGCCATGACGACCGTGTTTGACGGCGACAACACCCTCAATTGCCGCGTGATACTCTACGATCTGCATTCATGGATTGTGGCGAAAACCGAAACCCGACAGAAGCGAGCGTTGTTTTACGAGCCAATCAAAGTGGAGTGTACCCGGGGACATTTGACAGTGTCCCATGTGGACCCCGGCACATCGGAGTCAACGGGTGTAGCCTTCCGTACCGGTGCCTCCAAGATGTGTATGGTGGCATCCCGAGAATTTTTGGACTATGTGGCGGGCTTTGCGGGAAATCATGTCAGATAGTCAATGTTTACAGTATTTCCACTTCTCAATGCGTTTGGAATGCTTTTTTGCGATAAAAAACAGCTGCGGAACAAAACGATTCGCTAACAATAAAATAGTTTGTAAAAATAAATTTCCGAAGATAGTTCAGAATGAGCCGCAACGCAGATTTTTTTAATATTTCAAAAAGAAGTACGTATTTTTTCCTTGGTGTGTGCGAGACTTACGCTAGATTGGTGACTGAAATTTGTGCGAGTATATAAAAAATATCATCTACCACCACAGGGCAGTATTTTGTGGTGCATACTGAATGTGCATACGTTTTTTCTATTGTGATACTGTGAAGAATTGTTGGAAGGGGCTGTCGCTTTTTGCGACTACTGTTCTTGAACGTATGTCTACAACCTCGTGCAGGTTATTATTGAGGGTTGTAGACATTAAGCCGATTCAGCAAATAATCTAACAAATCACTGTCAACCACTGCTGAAGAAACTGAATGCATGGGTCTCACCGTAACTTGATCTAGAGGATTTCGGTTGTTAGTTGGCTGTGTCACTGTCATTTCAAGCCGGACTCCTCCGTTTTCCGCACTATCAGCTTCAGTGTATACCTCGAGCTATGGCGTGCGGACGTTAGGCGTCAGGCGGTATCTTTCATTCTAGACGTCTAGCATTCTAAATTCTCATCCTTTATGCCAGAAAATGTTTTCGGAAAACTATCACGATAATTTATTAGAAAAACTGATATGGATTTCCGAAACAATTCTAGGGAAAAATACAACTATTGGTTTTTCTTGAAAAAATTGGAAATTTTAATTATCGCTACGGATTTTCGAAAAAATTACGAAGGAGGATTCTGATAGGCATGTTGTTCGTTCGTGCAGGTTTATTGCGCTTTAAAATCGGAGCCGATGTCCTCATAGTTTACACACGATTCAAAACAGTTTAAATGTGCGAGAATGTTATCGAAAAATTTGCATTCTTAGTCTGCTGGTGGAATTCGGTTGGTCGATTTCGCTTCCGTGAGTTATATTCCACTCCAAATGTACACGCTGCTTGTTAGTTCGTTATCTCCTTCTTTTGCAAATACACCAATAAAGAATGCGTCTGGACCGGAGTTTTCCTACCGGTCTTTAGTAGTTTTTCTGCAATACCGTACAGCTGCCCAAGTCATCCCAGACGCAAAGTTTAAATTATTGAAAAACGGGGACTCTTTTGTCGCAGGCTTTACGGCATACTATACACTAACGTAATTTATACACAGTACTGTTTACGGACTCACTATGGTGGTTTTTCATGCGGGAGGGGTGCACTTGGGGGGATACTCCTGTTAATTTAAGTCATTGCACAGAGAAAAGCTCTAAATAATTTTGATTGAACGATTAAAAAAGCACAAAATCAACCTAGAAAATAGCCAATGCAGAGCGTTAAAGTTAATAAGCATCACGTAAAGTGTACTTTACTGAAAGAATGTTAAATCTGGAACAATCGGCGTTCGTTTAAGTATAGTGGTATTCTGTCGTAATTTCGTTGATTACCGTTAGATTCGCTCCGTTAAACTCCGCCACGCTCCAGGTGTTGCCAACGCGATTTGGGACATAATACCTTGCCCACAGGCTCTTCCCGCGGTACAGTTCGACAACAGAATTCGAATTGGCTAACAACGAGATCTGTTGTTTCTTGCGGCTATTCCAATCGTATACACTGATACGGTACGTGCCGGGCAGCTGCTTCGTGATGACGGTACTATCGGCAAAAGTTCCAGCGTAGTCATTCTGAATCAGCTTATCTTCGCTTGATTTCATTCCCTGACATTCCACACGTGTGCGGTATTGGGTGTCCTGCAGAGGCCCTTCGACCACCAGCTCCATGTAGGCATATCTCGAATTAAAGAGAATTATCCGAATGTCATCGTTAGACACGTCAGGCATCAGTGAATGCATAGGGGCGGGGCCGACGAGGCTGTAGACGACAACCGTGAAGACTTTCGGTATGTATCCTGTCGCGCTAGCTGTTGCCGTGTAATATCCAGACGGTAGGCTCTGGACCCAGTAACCATTTTCCATCGTTGTAGTTGTCGCGAGAAAAGGCCCTGAGTCATTGTTCAGACCGTAACGAAAAGTAACATTTACAGAAGGGGCGGGAATAGCTACGTTATAGTTGCCAGGACTCATATAAAAAAGCCGTCCGCTGACTGTGGCAGGTCCGGCCCATGTTTCGCTGATCCACAACAAGGGTTCCATTATGACTGTGCTGTTCAGTCGGAGATTACGATGAAAGTTTGCTAGGACAATTGGTGAGAAGCCGGCCATCTCGAAGGTTATGGTGTGGATCGTCTCCACCGGTATAGACAAATTAAATTCTCCGAAAGCGTTTGTCATTGCTGTTTGACTATCAACCAACAGATCGTTGGCATCTCTCAGCGCAGCGTGAACCGTCGCATGATTGATGGATCGCCCGGCATCGAAGTCTCTGGATAGCCAAACGGCTGTTATCCTTTGCTCTGCAAGAGATCAACTAATTAGTTCTCGAGAACAAAGCCGACAACCACAAGCAGCACGCTCAAGGTAAATTGCATGCTGCTTAAACAAGCAAATAGGTGACTAGGTTTTGTACCTATCCAACAGTTGCCAACTACTGAATGAATATTCGAGTTACCTTTTGCAGCGACCACGGCTAACGATAATGCGAACGTAAGCATTAAGGTAAAGGCGGACATTTTGTGAAACTACTCGTATAACAGAATTATCCGGCGTTGCACTATGGTCACTTTCGGTTGCAGCATTGGTTGTTATGATTGTTTGCGCATCTCGCGCTGCCGCTGCGCTTATATTTTAAGCTATTGGGATTCATTTTTATATCACAGTAAGATTATTTTATCTGAAGTAATATCGCTGGAATCGTTTGAAGTACTTTGTAGCATGAATCATGGCATGCATCGAGAGTAAGAATGTGAAACGTCATAAAGTAAGATCGTTGTAAGTCCGCTGAATGGTATTTATTTCGGTGCTCATCACTGTATACGGTAGACACTCAGGACATCCAGAATTCCGAGTCAGCACTTCCAGAGTGCCGAGTCAGCACTGCCTTTGAGTGATTGGAAGTTTCTATCACTTTATACCGCGTGATAAAGAGACAGACTCTTTTATTCGCTCAGGGACACTGCTGACTCGGCACTCTGGAAATGCTGACACAGCACCCAAGATGTGGTGACTCGGCACTCTGGGCCGGATGTCCTACGAGAGAAAGTTAGCATACCACTGGGGGTACTATCGCAGCTTATCGTCCGCTGCCGCTGCGCATAATGCACTTATCGATTCCGTTATCGTTGAAGGTAAAGAAAGACAGCTCTAAATCCAAGCTTGAAGAGACACTTGGCTGCTATTAAAGCGGACTGTGAGCCACCGAGGTTAATCTCGCAATATGCTTATAGCACGAACGAAAATCGTAGTAATTTTCTTTCTCATTTTTTCCTTTCCTTCTTGTCGCTTAAAACTACTTTAATATGTTCTTGATGATTCAACATTGATCGAATTCTAAGAACGAAGAAAGGGACACTCAGAAGTGATTTAAAAATTAAACGCCCCATTTTCACACTTGTAAAAAATTTTCGACGAGGAATTCTTATTGCCAGTTTTCTTAACATCTGAAATTTGACATAAATCATCGTAATCGATGAGGCGCAGATACAACTTTTGTATTTTGACGGGAAAAACAAAATGCCGTGTTGCCAGTTTTAAGTATCGTAAAAACAAAAAATCGAAATTTAGTATAGAACGAAAAACGAATGATGTATGCTTTCCGGAATTATTTATCGGTATAAGAATGTTGTGCATTTGGTCCGTCTCAGTGTTAGAAGCACCGCAGATGTCGATACAAGAACGTCGCTTAAACAACTTTCCAGAAAAGACAATCTGGATCTGTAGCATGGGAAGGAACCCAGGCGAAGCAATCCAGATGTCTGTTTTCCAGTTCACGCGGCTAACAAGAGGAACCAGTGGCTCGAATCTCCAGAAGCCAGATATTTTTTGTAGGCCATACAATCTAAGAGTTTACCAAACATGGCACCGATAGATTACGGATTGACGGCGGTTTTTTAGAAAATTCTAAGTGGTTGGTATCGGTCTGTGTTTTGTGATTTGTTATAGTGTTGCGCACTTACCCTTGTCGGTTTTGCAGAATCCCGCTGCTTTCTGGATGGATTTCTGTTTTTTAGAATTAATTTGTGATGATAGATCAAACTAAGGGCTTTCATACATAACGTTTCTAAAAATTAAATATGCACGGAGATGATTGCAGTAAGTACTAAGTTCATAAAGAAACTGAAAGCTTTTTGCGAAATTATCCTCTGTATATTTACAATGGATACTGCCTCGGTAAAAAATGAGCGTTATCGCGTTAGATGGGCAAAGTCTGTAATATTTGTCAGAAAATTTATAGGCCACTATCTTGCTGTTCGTTAACTTGCTGAGGTTTTTTTGCTGACTGACAAAAAGATTACCTGACCTTTTCTTCAACGAATGGTTGGATTTTTAACAGAATTTTGTTTGAAACGTCCGAGACGGCACGTTATGTTCAACGGATTAAAAAGGCAGAATGGACGGTCGACTGGAACGGCAGTGATGGTCGGCAGAAAGGTCGTTATACCCGCGGGAACGGCCGTAGGAGGCGGTCGAGTGAAGGTCGCGTTCCCAGTCGCTACTATTTGAGTGGGGGTCGAATTTTGGGTGCCCCTTTGAGCCGAAATGGCAGTGAATGCAATCCAAGACAGTTACGAATGTTTTTAAAAAATGCCATCGTTAATCGATCGAAACGAAGCGAAGACCTTCTATGTTGAGGAAAACGGGACTTTTGGCTATCCCTTGGTTCCGCACTAAGAAGGACTAACTGTTAAGTCTTATTACCTGCTAAGGTAAGGGTTTTATACTTACTATGATATCATGCTGCTGACCGCTATGACGTCACCTTAGAAGTTTCCGTATCGGCCCCATACAGCAGTGCTGTATCGATAGTTTACATCACATGAACGGCACAAGAACGGCATCTGTTTCTAAAATTCCATAATTGTGGTAATAGCAACCTGTCTTTCCGTCGTTGCAATGACATTTAAATAACCGAGCTGTTTGGGCTCTTGGTCCGCGAATCACGGTATATGCGTGTGCTATCGGTATCTTTGCCGTCAAAGGTGGGCGTATATCCTGTGAGAACAGCTGAATTTCTGTCCATTGCGTAGACAGCGCATAACCTTCGATATAGTGATAAGTACTGTAAATCCCGTGAATGTGCGTAAAAAGCACGAGTAACCGACAATAATGGCCTGCGGCAGCAATCCCCATGGGCACTTTGTCCGGCAGGGGATAAAAGGTGGCAGTGGCACCTGCCACTGGCAACTGCCACCGGCAGTGGCATTTGCCACAATGCGTTCTGGCAAGCGATAAAACGTGGCAACTGTTAAAAATTCAGAATCAGCTTGAGACAGTTTTGCCATTCAACGATAAGTTCTTGGGAGAGCATTTTCGTGTTTTCACACATCGACTCTATAAAAACTTGTCTATGGACGCACACTCCAGCTGAGTCTTGTGTCCGCGCCTTCCAATACAGTATTAAATGAGTGCTGCAACGGTGTTTTGCAAACGCAACTGTCACAGAATACACTCAAAATCAGTGCCGCTCACGATCGAAGCGCGGTAATGCGACGCGACGGTAAACGTTCCATTCGTGCATTCAGCTAAGAGCAGGCGACCTCCAGAAATCGTTTGACTTTGGATAACACATTATACTCACTGAAAAGCTAAGCTACAGGCGCGCGGCTGTAGGGCTGAGTTTGACTCTGACTAATAAAAGTCAGAGACGGACTATCAAAATAACCTAAAAACCCTAATAATTCTAAGGATCGCAAAAAGCGCAAGAAACCTTAAAAAACAATAAAAAGTCTAAAAAGGCTTAAAAAATGTTTTTTCTGTGCTATTCAGACGGCATCTTGCCATTTCGGCCGCATGACTTTTCGGCCGCATGACACTTCTGCTGCACGACACCTCGGCTGCCTGATATTTTTTATGTTTTTCTTAGGCTTCTTAGGTTTTCGCAGGTTACTTAGGTTTTTTGGTTTTCTTAGGTCGTTTTAGATTTTTTTGTTTTTCTTTGGATTCATATGTTTTCTTACGCCCGAGTTAAACGGGCGGCCGAATTGTCAGGCGGCCGAAGTGTCGGGCGGCCGAAGTGTCAGGGAGTCCGTCAGACTCCAATGCCACGGCGGACGCAGTGCAAGCCGAACTGCTAGCGCCTTTGTCCATTGATGGATGGGGCGGATGTGACGGTGGCCGCATTGATGCGCCAAACGCCGGGTTAAAGTCCTCCAAGGCTTCAATTACGCCCAACAGACTGTAAGACAACGAAAAGCTAGAAAAAGCCTGTGCGGTTGACTCTGGCAAGCAAGGAGCGCGTCTGGTTATAATTTTTTTTGTATTTGCGCTATAAATACTACAGATGTACTCGGTGTGCAATCTTTTTTTTGTTCTGTTTGTTTTCGTTTTTTATCTTTTTTGGACAAATCTTGAGCGAACACTACTCTAGGTTCGGTATCCCTTGTACAAAGTCGCACTTAGAATGTTTTTTATAATTAGGGTTAACCATACTTGACGTGGACCATGCACACGCACGCTTTCACGAGTTCCTTCAGTATTTTGATTTCTGAATTTTTAACTGTTGCCACGTTTTATCGCTTGCCAGAACGCGTAGAGGCAACAGCCACTGCCGGTGGCAGTTGCCAGTGGCAGGTGCCACTGCCACCTTTTATCCCCTGCCACTTTGTCCTGTATCCCTTCCGCCGCCAGAGGCGGGATAGAACTGCATTTCTACAAAATTATCCAACGGTTTTGTATCCCAGTGGCAGTGCTCATGGACCTCAGGTTTGGCGATTTTGTTCAGTACGGTTTAGCCAAACACTTACAGCTCGAATTGAAAAGGAATTCATTAAATTGGAAAAGCCGCGCGCATTTACGGAACATATATGCGGATATGTTTACAAGACGGGCGTAGAAGTGGTGATGATTTTCACAGTTCTGGTGATAAGGAAGATATAGGTCAACAAGTAGTTAAAATTACATGGGCATTTGCTGTCTGAAATGCGAAAAGTAAAATGGGATTCAACCCGTGAATTTTGCCCGTGCAGTGCAGGTGTATCCACTGCGCATTTTTCCGGTAAACTTACTTACTCAGTGGTCTAACTTGTGACCGTCACTAAAGTACGTATTAAGTAGTACTGAACGGTAAATCGCTACTTGTTTCTTTTGTTGTTTCTGTATCGCAGCTCGTTAGAATCGTAACTAAACTCAAGAAAGCAGGAATCGTATCTCGAAGAGAAAAAGGAACCAGAAGTTGTTAGGATGAACTAAAACGAAGAACGCGAGAAACAGAGACAGTACAGAATACAGATATATGTATATTTCATGTAAGTACAACGGTCGCACATCAAACTTGACCCTACCCGAAATTTGTAGTGACAGACTGACATCGGGCTTGTGGCCTTCTCCAGTAGCTACAACTGTAAGTTGCCTTAAATTATTTTGTACAGCAATCAGCATTGATAAAAATCGTCAACAATAAATGCCGCGGTGCGGCCGACGCACTATGAAGGCTGTTCAGTGGACAGTGTGTTATAATTACAGCCCTGCTCCGCCACACGCGGGCAGTAACAAAATCTCCTTAACTCTTATATTTTAAATTTATTTTGTGCAACTGCCCGCATGTGGTGGAGCAGGACTGTTTAATACTTTCATACTGGTACAAGACGTACGAATGCAGTTTCAGATGGGTTACTTGCGCGAGGCATTTTGCCAAGGGTTAATTAAGGCATTACTGTCATTCTTCAAAGAATGTGAATTTTGCTTCAGCATTGTGAGCAGAGTCAATTGATACTGTAACTTGCAGTTCTCGCACGTCCTGGTGATCTTTGCAGCCTACGCCGTCAGCGGAAGACATCATGGTTGTCAACTTAGTATAAGTGTACCACATGTAAAAATGCTGACGTACACAAACCTCGAAACAGCATTATATTACAACAAACGCAGTTGAGCTAAGAGCTTTCTGTGTACTCATCATATAAATCGAGACACCATATAGTTTGCTGTAGGAGAGCTGACGGCATCCGAGGAGCGCTTTAATAAGCTGCTGCAGACCGAGCTATCAAAAATTGCAAATGCTTGTCAACGGCATCATATTCCTTTTTCCCAACACGTCGTTTGTTGGATAGAAAAAGACTTTACATAAAGTATTCCCAAAATTGCGTTGTAATCCGACCTTGAATGCTGTAAATGGCTTTCTACAAAACTGCAGATCAGCGACGGTTATTCAGTTATCGCATTTGGAAAGGGAGCAGCGCCAAGCTCTAGTTATTTTTGTGACCTTTTGCTAGTAATTTTCGAAAGATTTATTGGGTGTTTTCTCCCTTCACTATGGCCAAACGAACCCTCCGCTATTACCTCCACAAAGGTGGCTCGTGGGCGGGCCAAGAAATTATTACGGAAGCTCTCGTCGTTCTGTGGTTCGCCATCCAAATCTCCATGAAATTTGGAATGCGCTCTTTTCCGCAGTGGCAAAGTAATCGAGTGGATCCCAACGCTCCAATGGGACTGGACAGAGCGATGGAGTTTTTTGGCAGTGTAAGAGGCATTTTAATAATATTATCATTACTATCTAATTTCAGTAGTAAACTTCTTTTCACAGAAACTCGTAGATACTAGTTACTGAAGAACTTCTTCCTAGTATATAAAAATTTTATGTGATTTCTAATTAATTGCTTGGAGAATAAAATCATTATCGCCAGTTATTTGATGCTGACCATATTACAGCTCATTAAACAGCATAACCACGGCGTGTCGTGTACATCCGTACGATTCCATACCTATCTATGTTACAAACGTGCCAACAACTCTTTTTTGCAGCGTTATAGCTGAATTTGTTGCTTAAAATTATTTAGTTTCTCGGTGAATCTGAAAATCCAAATTATGTTTTAAAAGGTTTCTTGCCATATTTGGCGCGCCACAAAATACCGCGGAAAACTTACGCACTGTATTCATACATACCTATGTGGCAGCCTGTGTTGGGTTTTACGTATTACTAGCGGGCCGATTAGGTATTTTGTTTTCGGTAGGATATGAGCGGCTGCCCATGGGACAGAGTGATGTCGGCATGGAAATACCCTTCCGCTTCAACTATAACATCAGCAAACGCCACCTCCAGCACGGCTATCCCAATCCGAGCCGTTGTGGGCTACATCGGCACGTTGGCCACCGTCGGCGCCAGCGGCATTCTGGCGGCGATTGTGTGCTGTTCGCTGTACGTCAACGCGTGCTGGGAACGTCCGGTCTGGCAGATTCACTTTCGTCACTGTCAACAGCTCACCGCAGTGTTCTGTTACACCGGATACGACATACCATCGTGCATTGGGACGGTGTTGCGCTATGTTCTGTTGCTTTTTGGATTAAGCTGCACTGCAGCGTTGTGGTTGCTGGTTTGTGCATTACCGGCCGTCCTCCTAGCGGCAGCCGTGCTAGCGATCGTGGCCAACGCTGTGGGAACAGACGCTGTGTTTCCCTTTTGTGTCTTTGCAATATGTTTGTTGACAGTTAATTGTATCGGGAGATTGTGCGGACTGTGGATGGATAAACCGTACTGGGCTATAATTTATAAGAAGCTGCGGTACTTATGATTAGCGTTTGCTCTTTTCGTGCAGGTCAAGTTTCAGTTAACTTTTAAGGTTGTGTTTACTCACATTTTTCCAGGTTGTGGATTGACACGAACACGCAGACTCATCGAGCACTATTCGTAAATTCTCCCATGGAATGTGTCTCTATTGCGGAGCCGGAAGTCGTGCCACCGAAGCGCTTTTGCTACCTGTTCTGCGGGAAATGTGCGATGTTTACGCTCGGCTGCATGGTCGCCGTAGTTAACCTATACACGGTGCTTTTGGCGTTTCCTTGGTTTAAAACGCTCCCGCTGAAATCGATCTTCTGGACTGCGGGAATCGGGCCTAACCACTGCGGCAGCCATACAACGGTATTCAGTACTAGCGCGCCCTCGTTTTATCGCTGGTTCACCGCTGTCCACTCACGGCCTGGAAAGAAAAAAAAATAAATTATTCTCCAATTCAACTGCACATTATTTGAATGAGACATACGAAAATTTGTTCGTTGCGCATTTTGCGCAAAGCCTAGTTCTTCCCTGTATTGGTTTTGGAGTTGCATCTGCAACAGGATGTTTGTTTTACAGGGATTGAATTACATCGATGCGATGATGACACCCTGGAAGGAGAATGTAAGCTCACTTTTGTCTGCCAGAACTCAATCCGAGTTTACATCCCGGTTCTTCTTACAGTTTGTGGAAGTCATCCTGGGGATCGAATGCCTTGCCGTTTATTTCGTGGGTGTCCTGGTAGTGGTGATTTTTACTGTTGGTCGCTATGGTTGGCGTTTTCTCGGCTACCTGAAGGAGTGCTTCTTCAATGACAACACTGTGGAGCACAGTACTGAACGGTGTGGTAAATCTGCGGTTTCAAGCCTCTTTTTTAAATAATGCAAAATTTGTAGTCAGCAGTATCTGACCTGTAGACTTGTTCTAGATTTCTCTTAGGTTGTATTTGAGTCTTAAACTCAAAAACTGAATAATAAGAAAAGAAGCGGTACAAGTATTACATAATCATGTGCTGAACATCGGCTCGTGGTCTTACCGTCAGTAATTCTAACGAGGACTGTCTGATCGGCAGGGTGCATTCCTGCGCATGTTACCAACTGGGAAACGCAGTACTGGACAGTCTGGTTATCCTTCGCTGTGTTGGCTGCTGGATGTTTTTGTCGTTTCCGTTGACCGAATTCCTTTTTCCCGAGAGTCTGCAATTGCAGATATTGGCGAACGTCCAGCTGGTATATTTATTTATGCAGTTCTGCTGGTTATTTGACGACATCGGGGAGAAACAGCAGATGACGGAATTAACCCTTGACGCCGTTACGACAAAGTCTGCTGCAGTGAGCGATAGTTTGGGCAAAGAGACGACCGGCGTCAAAAACAGCGAATGCGCGACGTGTTCCCAGTGCGGGTTCACCATGAACCCGTGCCGGGACGTGGATAGTAAGGCAAAAACTGCTGAGAATACCGCTGATACAAGGGATTCTGTGGAGGAGGTCATACAACAAAAAACCTCGGAGGCGGCGTTAATTATTCCTTTGTGACGTAATCCCCAACGTAATCATTTTGCTGTGTTTTAGTCGTGTACAAAACCTGATCACATGTTTCGATTTAATTATGGCTTTATCATTTAAACGAGTTCATGTTTGCAACTTCGGTTAGGTGTAAAATATCTCATTACTTTAAGTTATTACAGCAACCGTATTTCAAGGTATGCAACTGTCTGTCCTTAACCGATAAACATTTTCGTAATGTTTAACTTTGTAATTTTTATGGCACTGGAAAATCCGCAGCTTCTAGAGTACTTAAAAAATATTTCAAGAACTGTCTCGTCCGGGGATGTTGTTCGATATCATGGTTCACTGTCACTACGTTGACCTGATTGAATTGTAAATATTCGGTTAACCTAGCAGTCAACTGTGGCTAGTCGCACTAATAAGCAGCTGCGAAGCACAAGTGAATTATCGCTGACCGGACGGCCAACTACTGTAGCCGCGGGATATGATTGCACCACAAAGTCTGGTATATACCGAAATCGTCGCACACGCTGCAAATTCTACGTTAGATGTTCTCTGTCTGGCTGGGGGCAGTCAGCGGCCAGATCTAGTAGTCTTGCCATAGGTTGAAATAGTGTGTGTTATTACACAGTTTGTGTACAGATATTATTAAATGTGTTTTGTGTATTTTTAAAGTCTCAAATGTGCAACATTAAAACAGTTGAAATTCGTTAAGAAAACGTCAGAGAGAATCTGCCGAATAAAACAATTCCAATTAAGTCAGTATTTTTAATGAAAGTTCTTCGTTTTTTAAGGCAAAATCTGCCGTTGGCTTCGCGCTTCGCGCGAAACTGATACCATTCTATGCAACATTTTGTTACTGTGGTCATCGTGCACTAAAGACGCCCAAACTACAGTAATATAAATTGGCTCATCGCTCTCCTACTGAAAATTAGAACATGCCTTAGATTTTTCTGTATAGTACCATCAGTAACCGATTCGTTTCACGTGAACCTGCATGGATCTGTGCATTTATTTAACTGTGATACAAGCGGTCCAAAATACTCGTTGTTTTTTTGTAGTTCTTAAAGCCAAATTCCGAAACCACATAAAAATAATACCTTAAGCGTTATTTTCGGAAATACTGTAGCTTGTCGTCTTCGCGCTATGTGCGAAGTTTTCTTCGTGTATCGTAAGTATAAGGTTACTTGCACAAGATAACATATCTGTATACGTGGCTACTTAACCAGAACACTAGGCCCCTACCACAGTACCCCGGGGGTGCGAGGGAACCCCCCTGGGGTCTGACGGAAGTGTGTATTTTTAAATTTCAACTATTTTAATCCCTGAGTCTTGCAATTTCTTTGCGCAGTTACAGTAAGGTGCGTCAGGGATCATGTTACTGGGGGAATGGTGCGACACACGTTACACCCGCTAGTAAGTTCTTTATTAAGCAACATTTTAACATTTTTAATTTCTTGTGCGGCATCTTGTTAATGACAAGTAACTTTCATTTTAATTTGTTTACCCAAGCGGCTATCTTTAGTGTGAAGACCATTACTATGATAGTGCCCGTGTTCTACCTATACGTTTACGTCCGTATATCCTGCGATCGATAACTTCTGTATGGTAATCAATACCTTTTGTACAGATACATAGCGATTAGTCAGACGAGAGAGGAAAAGCTAAAGTGTATTCCTATGCTTGGCGAAGTGGCGACGCTATAATGTGGCGCGGCAATGCACCGGTGCACCTAGTTCACCTTTGCGTCTTCAGAAGGCAGATGTCGTACGTTCAACAAGGAGCACGACATCTGCCTCATCAAGATGCGAAAATGACCAGCGTTCACATTGCTGAGCTTTAATAATAAGAATTATGAGTCATAATTGCATCCAGCTTTCGCGATGTGCGCCCCGTGGCTTTGCAGTTGATCCTGTGAGGTCAACAGCACCATCAGACAGAATACCATAACTTGTCCTCTTGTGATAATCCATCTGCAGATGCTACGATATTATATCCGCAAATCGTTAATAGTACGCAGTGGCAACCCATATAAAGATAATGTTAAGGTCAGCCATTAGCCAAAACTACAAAATGTTAGCAAATATCAAAATTATACTGGATCGTCACTTTGATGAGTGTCAACTACTGATTTTAAGGGTTAAGCGGAAATCCAAGCGAATCTTTATATTATGCCAACCCATCCCGCCGTGCGCTGCAGCAACTTTTCGGTTGTATAAAGAAACTATAGATTTTGACCGCCGCTGAGTGAATTAAAACGAACGATTAGAACTAAAATTTGTTAAAATGCAGATTCAAGTGAGAATGCCCACTCATATATTTGGTGCTGTTAACTCGGTTAAAATTACTCCATCGACAACGAACAATTCCGCAAGCGATAACGCTGTACAAAGGCTTATCGGTTTGACCTGCAAGGCAATGCTGTAATAGATTACTGTAATTGTTGCGAAACGATTTAGAAATAGTCACGAGATAAAAAATATAAAGCATAATGCATCCCGCAGTAGATTACGATAACGAAGTACGACATTGGCCGTGCAGTATTTCTTAGAGACTGCCGCAGCGATGTTCATTTTGCACGTGGTTTTCACCCTCGTATTTTCCGGAGTACGTACGGTCTCTAACACGTTAATCAATTTTGTGCAGTGCAGCAACAATTATCTTTCATTTGGCTGCTGTTATATACCGCGCATACCGTGTAAAAGCTGTTAAAGCACATGGTGCTTATTGAGTACTGTTTTTCTGTATAAAGGTATGCATAATCACTGATATAGAGGACTATGATAGGCTAATTAAAGTTAAAGGGGATTTGCGTCCATAACTTAAACAATCGTACATAAAACATATCGGCTGAGCACACTTAGCACCGGAATTCACCTGACGAGCAAACTCGAAATACCGGTAATGATGAACATTTAGAATAGCTGGCCAGTTGCTAGCCAATAGGCAATAAGCGCGGTACTGCATTCTGTGTGTGTGTTAAGAGCGAAGTTTTCCAGATAACCACTGTGTAGGTGTGCATTCACAAACCCTCGGTTGAGTTACATGAGTACAAACTGTACAGTAGTACGAGTACATTGGAAGAGATAATTTCTCATTTTAAAAAATAGAGAGACTTACCTAATTAGTGCGAAATTGGTATGTCTGCAACCATGCCTCTAGCATACGAAATCACTGGTGCCGGAATACAGTTTTCTGCACACGCGCATATGGGTTACCGGTATATCGCCGGAGTGGCACTTTTGTCAAGAATGAAATTATGTACGTACGAGCTCTGCTAACCGTAAACAACAGCCGACAAGATTATTAACAAATATTATATCTGCCTACACGCTGACCTGACCCTCTGGATAAGCACTGAATATTAAACAACAAGGTTCAAGAACAACCAAAGACGGCTTGTACTTAATTAAGTAAGCAACAACAGCCAAAATTTGCAGAACAGGCTGCATTAACCAGCAGGACACATTTTTCCGGGTCAATCCCTTAGACAAACTCTGGTATGCTGTCGTAATATATACTTCAAATTTCATCTTTGAGGACCAATAGGGCGTGCCCCAAAGAAAATAATTTAAATGAGTCAACAAAATGCACCCATCGGTGCAACCTTCTAATACAGATACGTAATAGAATTTTTAACACATTATTTCATCAAACAGCACGGTTAAATAAAGGGGTGTGTATTCTAACTGGACAATACAGTATTTGTTTCTTTTTCTGTTTGAAGAAGAAATTTAAAGCCGCGGATATAGCGCTGAAGCGTCCGCGGTGTCGCTGCTTCGTCACTGCCGTTGCACCCATCCTTTTCTACCTGATTCTTTATTATTTCAGCTGTTCTTTGCCAAAAAATCGGCAAAATTCTCACGTCAGCTCTTTCGGTTAAAGACATATTGTTGGGCAGGGCAGAAAAAGGTGCCGGATAAACAATACACACTGTAGTACATGTATAGCGCATATCATCCATCAAAACAGATGACATTTTGCTGCTTAACCCTGCACAAATCTGCACTGATTAACACTGCCGACTGTACTGATCTGCAAACGAAATTGACGCAGTATAAGTTGTTTAGATGAAATGAAGAGGCGGGTGGAAAAGGATTAGGCAGAAAAACCTCCTGCAACGCACGTGTCCGCCTCTTCCCCCCAGTATTGCGTTTCATCCTAAAACACATTGCCAGTAGCCAAAAGGTACAAGCCGCTAACTCGGATGACTGTGAAGCAATGTTGAAAATTTTCTCAACGCCAATTTCATTCATTTTCAGCTAAACTGGAAATTTTAAAAATGGTGCTCGGCGTTGACATTATTTCCACAGTAAGCAACGTAACGTTTCGGAACGTGACAAACTCGATTCAGCAGCGAGAATTTCTGCTTCCTCCTTATCGTTTAGAGCTTATGGCGCTTCTTGTTGTGAGCTTAGTCGTTTGTATCATTGGTAGTGCGCTTTTTTGCCTTCTTTTTCTGCTCCTTATCCGGCAGCCAGCTCTCTTCCAGGGCTCGCGCTTCCTCATCATTAATCAGGCCATCGCGGAGATACAGCTGATTGGTTTCCATCTGCCGACTATCACTGTCGCCCTCTACATGGATGAATCTGGCAGCAACTCTGCGCTCTCCAGCAAAGCCTTTTGTTTGCATCAGACATTTCTGCATCTGGGGACGGTGGTGGTGTCCATGTGGGGTCTATTCGGATGGGCCTTGAACCGTTTCTTGGCCGTCAAGACCACCTCGTTGCTGCAGTACCGGCGCTGGACATCCAAGCAGTTCCAACTCACCCAGATCGTTGTAAGTTGGTTGATTGCGATTTTATGCCATATCTACATGTACATCCAACCTGATCTGGTTATCCCACTGGAGCTCCCGCCACCGCGGCAGTGCCGTGCAATGCCCAGTGTACACTTCACGCTGAAACAGATTTTTGGGACGTATGTCCCTCTGGCGCTTACTGGAGTACTGTATGTGATAATCGCCTTCATGCTGCTAAAACAGCGGTTAAAGAAACATCAGGTGACGGATGCTGCTATAGTTGTACAAGGGAGAAATTTCCGGCGAGACCGATTCCGGTTGGCCCAAATTCTATTCATCAACGCCACGTTGCACACCGCGGCGTTCCTTATCTTCCCGGTGCTGAAGACCATCCGTGGTGTGAGCGCCAGTGCGGATCCTTTGCTGCCGCTCTGGTTCCGCTTGGTGTTTCATGCCGGTATGCTGGCGACGCCGGTAGGTGCTGTGAGAGTGTGTTTCTAAATGAATATATGGCCATGGGGCAAAACCAGTCTACTCGAACCATTTCCCTGTACTGCTGCCGTCACCCGGCTTGTGGTAAAAATGGTGTTTATATACTGCACCTGATTTAAACATCTGGACTGCCGTAACGTCACACCCCAGACGGATGACGGCAGTACAGAGAAACTTTTGATTAAAATGGAGACTATTTTACTTCCACTACAAAGTACAAACCGTAAATTATTACCCTTTACAGATTGTACTAGCGCTTGACGGTTTTTTGTTTGCGCAGGCAACTTTCTTTTTTCTGAGCCGGGATTGTCGTAAGGAAATCGCTTCTCTGCTCAAAATACAGCCGCCCCAACGCAGACAAGAGAGTATTTCTGGACAATCGAAATCGCAACAGTCATTTAAACGCGCTGCCTCTGCGATCGGTTTACAGCATCCTGTGGTGACTCTAAACCGCGGCACGGTGATTTAGCCTGAATTACCGTTCTTATGGTAGTCTGCCTTTTACTGTTTATATTATGGAGCTGTTTTTATCTGCTTGCAAGCCAGGTTTCCAGTGACTTTAACGATATTACAGCCGAATGATGTTCGTGAATTTAACGAGTTGTTCCCGCAGTATATCACCTGCCCTGTTGTCAGAATTATTGCAAAGTATTATGTCTTTGTTGCAAATTTGTTTTACGGTTGGTTTAGCATATATGTACTGTAGCCGCTAGATGGAATGGCACCACTTTTAGATCCAGCCGCTGCCTGCCCCCTGTCAGACAGCGCACACATTACAGCAGCGTGTGCGCTGTTTTCCGTACACCAGACTCTGTGGTGCCATTTCATCTAGCGGCTACAGTACAGTAATACCTACCTCCCGTCTGAAAACTGATTTAGGCTGTTACAGGAACAAAGCTACGACTTGCGTTCTTGTGATCAGTATCACAGACTATCGTTGTTAACTTACAAATGGCCTTCATTGGCTCCTGAGCACTACGGATTATATTACGCTTGTGCACATTTTCATCTTGAAACCGACAAAAGCCATTGGTACCGCCAAGCTTCTTTAGCTGTTGACACAAACCGCCTTAACTTGTTCCTTGCGCAAGTAACACGCATCCGGCACGTAAATGTTGATCTTTTGAAGGATGCTAATAATGATGATGGCGTGCAAGCATTGGTAATAACGTCGATCATATTATACACTTCGCCGCAAATTCATGTCGCCGCCGGAAATTTTGCCGTCGAGTTTTAGAGACGGGATATAACGCCCCGAGACATTTCATCGCAATATTGTTTCGCTGCCGAGACAGTCCGTTTTCGAGATAAATACTTGCTGGATCAAATAGTCAAGAAAACTAAAAAAACTTTTTAAACTTAAACAACCAAAAGAAGAACTAAGACAGTGTGAGCAAACATAGGAATCATACCAGTACATAAAAAACATAAGAAACTATAACGACAAGATTGGAAAACATAAGAAAATTTAAGAGACCTATGCAATTTTAGAGACTCAAAAAAACGGCTCAAGAAAAGTTTAGAAATCCATGTAATTTAGAAAAAAAATAAGGCAGCTAAATAAAACTAGAAAAAACTAAAAGCCGGAATCCATTTCAGGCTGCGTAGACTGCATATAGCGCCAGTGTCAAGTATTAGGTACGTCTAAAAAGTGATTTCCCATTTATGAATCGAATAATATATTAAAGCAACCGAGGGAAAATAAATGCTTTGACATTTTTGTATTCTCATTGAAGTTCTGTTAGCCGGGCTTTCATGAGAAGATGCCTAGAGAGATCGGGAATGTCAAAATGAAAAGTTAATGACAATATTCTCAGCTCACCGTGTGTAACAGCCTGAATCAATGAATGTTTTATGGGACAGAAGAAATAATGCATCCAAAGAGGGATCATATATCGGAATATGGATTTGCACTTATTGTACAGATACAAGCGGTTGGAATGGCCCGCTCGATGATTCAAGGAAGGGCAGGGATTTTTTGTTTCTTGCCCGTTTTTTCTCGTAACCGCGTTGGGTAACTCACCTTCTCCTTGTGCCGGCTGGTAAACTGTGGCGTGCATGTCTGTGAAAATCTCAAGAATACATTCACAATTTAATACAATTGCCAGGTTTCCGCTATTCCACCTTAGTGAGTCTTATTTAAATATGCAGAGTGCAGGAGTTATTTAAATATGCAGAGTGCTTATTTTTCCCATGTTTGCCCATTTTCTCTTGCAACCATTTGAAGAGATTCATGCCATATTTCTTCTATAGACCATAAGGAAACTGGTGTGCAAACCACATTGGCAAACAACGGCATGTGGTCACTGTCATCTGCCATTCAAACTTAATAGTACTTGTCGAATCAATGGCAGGGGATAAAAGGTGGCAGTGGCACCTGCCACTGGCAACTGCCACCGGCAGTGGCAGTTGCCACTACACGTTCTGGCAAGCGATAAAACGTGGCAACTCCCGGAATCTTGAAATGACTTGGTTTTACCATCAAACGATAATCTCTGAATAAAATATCTGAAAAATTTAGAGCGAAGTAAGTCGCCTTTATACAACTGAGCTCTCGCCTCTTAATCCAGAGAGCAGTGCATACGCCTCTTGGTGCAGCGAGTGCAAGAACGGCGTGAAGTCCCAAGTGTCCCAGAAAGCAGCCGGTTAACCTACCGCATTATTATACGGCATCCGCTAAATTGATGCCTCATGGTGAACGCATGATACCACAAAAGCTTAGCGTTCATGCAGTGAAATAAGGGCGAACTGCACGAATCGTATAATTATGGAGAACCTAATCCATAAATGAATGCTGAACACGTCTGCCACTTGCAGATAAACACGGCTTGCACCAAATATGTTTCATAAACTATAAGAGAACCCAAGGAAGTCGTAGCGTCCTTCGTTAAGTGCTTTTCCCAGTGCGCAACAGCGGAATATCTCAAGCAGAAGAAGCTGCTGAATAGTGCTGATACATGCAGCGTCTTAAAACAGCATTTGTATTTACAGTTTACTGCACAATTGTATAAACCTCCCGAAACTGGGATTGAGAATAATTAAAATTTAAAAATCAAATGATCCAAGGGCCACTGAGCCACTGCTGCGGTGAATGCAACGTAGAGTCTGGACAAAAAGTCAGGCGCTTATTGTCACTTATGAATGGGACGCATGTCAATGCAGTGCGGCGGCCGCCGCCGAGATCAGTACTGTAGCCGCGCGATAAGTTTGCACCACTTTTAGATCCGGGCGCTGCCTGCCTCCGATCGGACAGCGCACACGTTACGTAGAGCGTGCTGCAGCGTGTGTGTTGATTTCCGTATACCAGACTCTGTGGTGCAAACTTATCGCGCGGCTACAGTACGGTCACCGTCGGCATTCAAGTTTAAACCCGCCCCAAGCTAGCTAGAGCAAGACACTGCCGGGAAAAAGGATGGCGCGAGTTTGTGCCCGACAACAAGCCGCTCATGTCCAGAACTGTTAACGTTCGGTAGCGCCTTGTTGTTGTGCTTGCGGATATGGTAGCCGACGCTGCTCAGCATATAGATAAATTTCTCTGTTTTGTTTTATATCGCATTTTCATCATATCTGGATGGATGAACAGTCTGCAAGCACTCATTTTCCGAATGCGAGTTTTGAAATACGGTACTTATTTTAGTGTTGCCAGTTTCATGGGCTCCTTTATTGCGCTAGAACGCATACAGTAATATGTACACGTATAGGCTATACGGTATAGCCATACCTTGACAGTTGCCAGTTTCCACTTTTTATCACTTGCCAGAACGCACAATGGCAACTGCCACTGCCGGTGGCAGTTGCCAGCGGCAGGTGCCACTGCCACCTTTTATCCCCTGCCGGCTTCCTTAGCCAGGTGTCAATTCCCGTGCAAGATTGTCGCTCTATCCGAAAAGAAATTGGGCAGAAATTCACTTACCATTTACGTATTTAGTTTAGTTAAACAATACTATGGCGAAATACAGTTGAAGTATTTCGTAGTACAGTACAAGTAATAAATTGATATAAATTTACTATAATTTCAGCAATTCACGACCAATTTTGAGGCCAGTTTTTAAAGTTTATCGTTAAAATTTAAACGACAACACCTATCAGGGAATTTTAAGCAGGAAAGGTCAGGCTATACATCGTTCTTCTTGAAACTTTGCTGTAAAAAGCCCGTAACGTTTTTTTACACAGGTGGTGGCCAACCGCTGTCGCTGGGAACTTGGTGATGACCGCCTCCCAACAGAAGTCGATGTCCTGGCCAAAACGTGTGTCGTTACTGCGGCGGCCGTGGAGCGCATCGTCTGGTGCAACAGCCGCGTTGGCGGTATCGGCGACGAGCATAACGCGTGCGTGGTGGCCCATGACGTCACCGCTTTCCGCGACACATGGTGGAATATGCAAACGGATTTGTATGCACTGCTGGAGCGGCATTTGTTGTGGATGGAACGCCGGATTCCACTGGATGTCGGCGGAAAGGAACGGTGTATAAGACGGGAACCGTA